TAACTATGTAATTTGATAAGTATTATCCAAATTGATCTATTCACAATAACCCTTTCCGGGTTTTAAAATATAACTTTAAATTTCGGGGGGGAAAAATTCCCCCTTGATTTTGTCTCCTTATCTATCTTCTTCCTTCCTTCTCCTCTTCTGTTCAAATCTTTTACCTGATGTTGAGATATTCTTTAATTTCTCTTTTGAGTTTCTTAATTTCTTCTTCGTATTTGTTGCATGGGCTGGCAGCGGTTGAAACGGGTCAATGCCCGATCCCAGCGGGGCGCCTGTTCTCCCGTCGGCTCGGACCCTCTTTACCCCCCTCCTTGAGGGAAGGGAGTATTTGGGGTCTACGAGCCTCCCACGGGTTACTCTACACCTTCACACTCAATCTGGTGATGGTGGGGGAGCTTAATCTCACCCTTAAGGCGCCTCAACGCTGGTCTGCATCGGAGCTCCCTCTCAATGCAGCTTTCCCGTCGCCATCACCCACCGGAAGTCCGAAAGTCTTCATGTTTTTGTGGTTTATATCATATAAGTCTGGAGAAAAACATATTTTGGAGTAGAATTTGGGTTCACTGTTGGATGAATGCATGGCTCTGTAATATATCTATTGTATCTTTTCAGATGAAACATTAAAATTGTTGAAGGAGCTAACAAGCAGAAAAGCTCTTCAAGTGCCAAATATATATTACCACTTGCCTCATTTGTTGAAAAATGAAGGAAGCCTTCGACCTTCAGTGCAGGTTGGCCTTGGACGAACAGGAGGTAAAGTTCCCAGATATGTCTGATGGACACACTTCCAGTTGTGTGAAACTCTGTGGTTAACTTAGTGTGATTTTGGCAAATAGAAGATTAAAGGATTCTTGTTTTCTTTGTTGGATATTTCTTAGAATTCAGGTTGAATTCAAGATGAAAGAAGCTTGTCTTCAATCTTCTGTGTTATTGTCTCATGTGGATCCTACACTTTTAAAGTGAAGGTATAATGGAAACTACTAATCCGAAGCAGCATGTCTCTTCTTAAAAATGAAGGTGTTTTTTTTAACAATAGGAATGCAGAGTTTTAACAATGGATAGATTACGGTTTCCATGTTGTGCAGGTTTATAGAACATGAAATGTAGAATGGGCCCAAGTTGTTCATTGCTTTTAACTACACAGATTCTCAACATAAAAGCTATAGACTTTTTTGCTCATACATTGAAGATAGTTATCTGTCTTTTCCTCAATGCCAGGTTCCCTAGGTTTTTTTTAATAAGTTAAATTTTAGAGTGGATATACAACAGATCTCTAATACAATAAAACCCCAGTAATGGTGGGCCTATATCCGCAATTTTGCTTACTGGCAGCCGGTGGGGGAATAATCTCTCTAGGAATTTGCTAAATGGTTCTGGACCAGTTTACTTGTCCGAACTTATCTCCCTCTGTGAATCAACTTGGAGGTTAAGGTCTTTTGGGGAGGCCCTGCTCTCAGTCCCACATCCTTTGCAAGTGCGATTGGTGGGAACCAGGGACAGGGCCTCCTCAGTGGTGGCCCCTCGGCTATGGAACTCCCTCCCCATTGAAATTAAATCAGCTCCCTCCCTCCTGAATTTTAGAAAGAAAGTAAAAACATGGTTGTGGGACCAAGCCTTCGGACAATAAACTCAGTGCAATAAGTGATATGGAATAAGTGCAATTATGACTGTAATGGCTCCTGGACTCTGATTTTGGACGGTGTGGTTTTAATAATTTGTTTTTAATGTTTTGATGTTTTGTTTTTATGGTTTTTAATGCACATGTTTATATTTTTATTCTTTGTTTATGTATGTGGCATCGAATTGTTGCCTACTTGTAAGCTGCTCTGAGTCCACCTTGGGGTGAGGTGGGGTAAAAAAAAAGTAAGTAAGTAAGTAAGTAAATAAATAGGTCCACCAGTCAATTCTGTGATGCATTTCCCTTAAATATTACCATAGAATTGTGTTGGAGGATCTAGAACATTCTCCCTAATCCTCTAACACAGGGGACCTCAAACTTTTTAAACAGAGGGGCGGGTCACAGTCCCTCAAACCGTTGGAGGGCCGGATTATATATATTTAAAAAACATGAATTAATTCCTATGCACACCGTACCTATCTCATTGGTAATGCAAAAAACACTTAAAAACACTACAATAATTAAAATGAAGAACAATTTTAACAAATATGAACTTATTAGTCTTTCAATGGGAAGTGTGGGCCTGCTTTTGGCTGATGAAAGAGGATAGTTGTTGCTGCGTGCTTTCAAGTCGTTTCAGAGTTAGGTTGACCCTGAGTGAGGGCTGGCTAAATGACCTTGGATTGCCGTATCCGGCCCCTGGGCCTTAGTTTGAGGACCCCTGCTCTAACACAATTGTATGCTATGCCAGGACTGGAAGCCATGTTATTTAATATCATTCAGTTTCATCCATGGTTTCAGGTAACTGTGATCCAGCCAGGAACCCATCTTTTGTGGATATGGGTACATCAATGCCTTACGATAGAATTAGATCATTTTATGATGTTAAAATATGTAGTGTACTATGGCACTGCTTCCTTATGAGTCCTGCTCCCAAATGGGGCCCCCCTTAGCTCAATATTGGGGTCACAAAACATTGGCAGCAATAAAAGGTTTCTGAATGCCACCCATTTACACAAATCTATTAACAGCAACATGCAGTATTTGCAGCAGACTCTACAGAAAATGCATCAGCAACAAATACATTCTTGCAAATACTGATTTATTGTTAGCAAATTATTTTGATACCTATTTTATTCATCTGGGGTCGCAAAAAACTTTCTTGGACAGAAAGGAGTTGTGAGTGGAAAAAAGTTTAAGAAGTCCTGCACTATGAACCTTCCTAAGCTACCTGATGTGGCAGACAGCAGTGATTTTCCCCCCAATGTGTTGAGGAATGGTCCCCTATCTTTATCCTTTGGCTACACGTGTTTCTATCCCAGAAACACACATGGCACAGGAAATCAATAACTGTAGTCCAAGGGCCTGTGAGTTGCACTGGTGTATTTCATTCACTGTAGTGAGTGTATTTTCTGCTTGGAAATTATATCGATAAAAATATGGTGTATCATGCAGAAGTAACTTGCAGCTCATGAGAATTGAGATATATATATATAGAAAGAGTGGATGTTATGTCTCTGTCAAGGTAAGTGTTTCATATATTCCCTGTTGGATTTTAGAAAATTTTTCTGCATATGATGCTCCTGAATTTACCAGTCCTGCAAAACAGATTTATAGGTTCCTGTAAAAGACAACCCTTGAGTGAGGTTTAACTTTGAGTGTTTGCAAGGCATTTGTCTTCTGTTTGGTTGTTCTGCCTCTATTGCTGCTTTTCCTCTGTTTTCATAATCCATCTTCTTTTTCGTGTGCTTGACTTTCTTTTAAACAGAGTAACAAACTATGGCAAGACAGTTTTTTTTAACATTTTGTAGGCTTTATGCTACTTTTATGTGTGCATTTTATAATGCATGTTGCACATGAAAGGCACGCAACAAACATTAAGATTCATACATCTTTTTGTATGCATGCGAAGTGTTTTGGATTGAGAGTGACAAGCAAAGGGCATACATTGTACTGCTTTGGAATATGGCTCGTAGGTGATCCATTCCCCTGGCTTCTTACCTAAAGTCTAGAAGTTTTACTTGGACTATGATCCCCAGAATCTCCTAACATTATTGTCATTCTGCTGGGATATTCTGGAGTCCTTCTTTGAGTTCCAGTCTCACCAGACAGGTGAGGAAACTGCCTTTTTTGAATAAATGAAGAGCTGTTGTTAAAGAGAGAGACACTTTTCAATTTTGACTTCAATAAGGATTTGGGATCATTTTTAAAATGTTTTGCTATGTATAGATTTTTATGAGCAATTGACATAGTATAAAAATAAATTATCCCTTATCCAGCACGCCCCCCCCCCCGCCTTAAACAACATTCCTTGATTTAAAGTGCATCAGAACATTATTATATTTTTATATTGATTATAACTATAGTCAAGGTGATGCATGCCATATGCCAGCAAGTATGGAAAACACAAGAATGGCTACCAGATTGGGAAAAAAATCAACTTATATCCCCATACCAAAAAAGGGAAACGCTGAAGACTGCTCAAACTTTCATACAGTGGCACTTATTTTACATGCCAGTAAGGCAATGCTCCAGATCCTGCAAGGAAGACTCCAGTGATACATGGAGCGAGAGTTTCCAGATATACAAGCTGGTTTTATAAAAGGGAGAGGAACGAGAGACCAAATTGCCAATATCCGCTGGATAATGGAGGGAGGGAGAGAGTTTCAGAAAAACATCTATTTCTGTTTTATTGATTATTCTAAAGCCTTTGACTGTGTGCATCCTAATAAATTGTGGCAAGGTCTTGGTGGTGTGGGGATACCAAGCCACCTTGTCTGTCTCCTGAGGAATCTGTAGAACAATGAAGTAGCATCAGTAAGAACAGACCATGGAACAACAGACTGGTTCAAGATTGGGAAAGGAGTATGGCAGGGCTGTATACTCTCACACGACCTATTCAACTTGTATGCAGAAGATATCATGCAACGTGTGGGGCTTGACAAATCCAAGGCTGGAGTTAAAATTGCTGGACGAAACATTAACAACTTTAGATATGCAGATGATTCCACTTAGATGACTCAAAGCAAGCAGGAGCTGAGGCACCTTCCAACCAAGGTGAAAGAAGAAAGTGTAAAAGCTGAGTTGCATGGTCTTAGGGCATTTTTGGTCTGATATATGTTGTTGTTCATTCGTTCAGTCGTCTCCGACTCTTCGTGACCTCATGGACCAGCCCACGCCAGAGCTCCCTGTCGGCCATTACCACCCTCAGCTCCCTCAAGGTCAGTCCAGTCACTTCAAGGATGCCATCCATCCATCTTGCCCTTGGTCGGCCCCTCTTCCTTTTGCCTTCCACTTTCCCCAGCATAATTGTCTTCTCTAGGCTTTCCTGTCTCCTCATGATGTGGCCCAAGTACTTCAACTTTGTCTCTAGTATCTTTCCCTCCAGTGAGCAGTCGGGCTTTATTTCCTGGAGGATGGACTGGTTGGATCTTCTCGCAGTCCAAGGCACTCTCAGAACTTTCCTCCAACACCACAGCTCAAAAGCATCGATCTTCCTTCGCTCAGCCTTCCCTAAGGTCCAGCTCTCACATCCGTAGGTTACTACAGGGAATACCATGGCTTTGACTAGGCGGATCTTTGTTGCCATTCTGATGTCTCTACTCTTTACTAGTTTATCGAGATTGGACATTGCTCTCCTCCCAAGAAGTAAGCGTCTTCTGATTTCCTGGCCACAGTCTGCATCTGCAGTAATCTTTGCACCTAGAAATACAAAGTCTGTCACGGCCTCCACATTTTCTCCCTCTATTTCCAGTTGTCAATCATTCTTGTTGCCATAATCTTGGTTTTTTTTAATGTTAGCTGCAACCCAGTTTTTGCGCTTTCTTCTTTCACCTTGATTAAGGCTCCTCAGCTCCTCCTCGCTTTCGGCCATCAGAGTGGTGTCATCTGCATATCTGAGGTTGTTAATGTTTCTTCCAGCAATTTTCACCCCAGCTTTGCATTCATCCAGCCCCGCACATCCTCGCATGATGTGTTCTGCATACAAGTTAAAAGGTTGGGTGAGAGGATGCAGCCTTGCCGTACGCCTTTCCCAATCTTGAACCAATCTGTTGTTCCATGGTCAGTTCTTACTGTTGCTACTTGGTCCTTATACAGATTCCTCAGAGAGGGACAAGGTGATTTGGTATGCCCA